TTATTCTCCCTTTCCTTATTGTCACTATGTGCAGCCCACTGGTAATAATCTTGAGTAGACTGATTTGTAGGTTGTGTTGAAGAAGAAAGACAGCAACCAGGAGCAGGAAGCTCTCAGCCCTGAGAAAGGGCTTGAGGGCCTGGATGAGGGTGGGGAGAGGAGTTGTAGGGGCTGCCAGACTGGACAGACTGTAGTGGGAGATAAAAGAGCAAATCCAGCATGTCTGGGAGGCTCTGAGTGTCAGTGATTAGGGGATTGCTCTGAATCAGGAGTCATGGAGTATATTTACTGCAAATTATTCGTTGGCGGTGTCACCTTGGGTGAGTCAGCCTATCCTCTGAGTCCTCATTTATCCATTGGTAAAATGGGGCCAAAGTCTTGTTCTTCCTACCTCACAGAGCAGAGAGAGAGAGAGAGAGAGGGAGGGAGGGATGCTATTGAGTAGACAAGAGGGTTTAGAAAGCCATGAAACACGGTGTCATTTCAAAGACTGGTTCAAGGATCTGGAAAGGGAAAAGAACTTGGAAGGAGTCACTGGTCACCTGGGAGATCCTGCATATTTTGGATAACCCAGAGCAAGGTGTAACTCATACTGAAACTGTGTCAGGCACTTGTGATTTCTACTTGCTAAGGTTTTAATTTCATAAGTGCTTTCTTTCACATGTTGTTTCTCATGGTCTAGCTCATGATCTGTCCCTAGAGTAACACAGCTTGGGCAAAGCAAGGCTGGCTATGGGTTTGAAGGATGGCCCAATCATCCCAGCATGTCCAAGGACTGGGCTTTGTGACCTTCCTCCAAGGCCTGAAATGGGAGGATCTCCCAGAGGCCTCAAACTCAGTTTCATTCCCTGACATATTGAAAGGTGATGTATTAAAAATGGGAGTTTGGGCTTCTGTTCTGCACTGGAATCCCTCTCTCTCTCCCCACTAGCTACACTGGAGTTTCAGAGAGGTGGCTGGCCTGCTTTTGTTGGACTATAAAAGAAAATATAAAACTTCTCGGTTAGACTTACAGCAGGAAGTTTTGCTTGAGTAGCCAAAATCTTTCCAAACTGGACTGTAGGTAGCAGAGGAATCACTTTATCTTTTCAAGCAAACACACTCTTGGCTCTTCACCTGTATATCCTCATTATTTAGAAAGTATGCGTCCACACTCCTCTTTTGTCACTGTACTCTTCTTATTTGGGCAACAGAATCCCTGAGCTTTGACGTCTTTATCTGTGTCTTCCCAGGTTCCAGGACAAATCCCTGGAAAAGCTGGGGAGAGCTGGGAAGACTGGCAGGTGAAAGGCACTTCTGGGAGTAACTCACTGGTTACTTGGGGGCCAGAATGTGAGCTCTGTCCTTTTGTCCCCATACACACAGTTTGGGAAGTAATTACTGCAGTCGAGCTGATGAATATACCCAGGAAGCCATGCGCCAGTAGCGACTCCTAGTTTCCTCTGTCTAGAACCATTTTTAAATACTTCTTTTTTGGGCACACTAATTGTGCATACTTATGGGACATGGTGTGACATTTCAGTCTGTGCATACAGTGCATGATGAACAGATCTGGGTAACTAGCGTATCTGTCACCTCAAACATTTGGCATCACTTCCTGTTGGCAACGTGCAAGTCCTACTAGCTATTTTGAAATAATTATTGTGAGCCATAGTTATCCTACCACACTATAGGACATTAGAAGTTACTTTTCCTACCTAACTGTACCCCTGTGCCCATGTACCATCCTCTCTCCATCCCACCCACACCCCCATCATTTCCAGACCTTGCTAACTGCTACTCTATTGTCTATTTCTATTGTGATCAATTTTTTTTAGCTTCTATGTATATTTGAGAACATGTAGTATTTGTCTTTCCTTTCCTGCTTTATTTCATTTAATTTAGTGTCCTCCTGGTCCATTGTGCTGCGAATGACAGAATTCAATTCTTTTTTATGACTAAATTATATTCCACTGTGTACATGTACCAGATTTTCTTTATCCTAGGTTATTTCTGTTTCTTGGCTTCGGTGACCAGTGCTGCAGTTGCTTGCTGTATAACTGCTGCAACTGCAGTTGTTTCTCCAACATACTAATTACTCTGTAGTGGGACTGCTGGATCATGTGGCAGTTCTGTTTCGAGCTTTCTGAGAAGCCTTCACATCGTTTTCCACAGCAGTAGTACTAATTCGTGTAGACGAATGACCCTTTCCCCAGATCCCCGCCAGCGTTTGTTATTGTTTGGACTTTTTGGTAATAGCCATTTCTAACTGGAGTGACAGGAGGTAAAGTACATTTTCAATACTGGGACGAGGGATTCCGATTCAGGGTCACCTGGGTGCTGCCCCAAGCTGTGGATACCTTACCCCGCATCCCGGGGACGTTTCCTTTATAAGCCGTGTCCTAGCTGCTTTTAGCACTGCCAAATAAATTATTGTCCAACTTGTAATGATTTCCTGATTTATGAGAAGAGCACAAACTTAGGCGTCAGAATGACCTGGATGTTTGTTAAACATTTGCTGTTACCTGGGCAAGTTGTTTAGCATCTCTGGGGCTCTATTTCCTCATCCAGTGAATGGGAGCAGTATCGCCCACCTCACTGAGAGACAGGGTTGGTGAGGATGGACTATCACTTCTCTTGGAAGTAGGAATTAACTTGTATTTATTTATTTATTTATGGGGGGGTTTTGTTGTTGTTTTTTTGTGGTACCAGGGATCGAACTCAGGGCCTTGTGCTTGTGAGGCAGGCAGCAGCACCACTGAGCTAAATCTCCAGCCCAGGAATTAACTTTTAAAAAAACCTTACATACTGTCTTCCAGCACTTGGAGTAGATACTGTTAAGTGAAACTTTTTTTTAAATGAGTATTTTTTAATTTTAATTTTAATTTTTTATTTTTTGGTACCAGGGATCAAACTTGGGACCTTATACTTACAAGGCAGGCAGCAGAACCACTGAGCTAAGTCCCCAGCAAAGTGAAACTTTTTTTAATGCCCAGGCAAATATAATTTTGGCCTTGATACAGATCATTTTTAAAGTCAGTGGTCAATACCATGCCCCTCCTTCATTCCTTTTGAAAATGCTGAGTTGTGTTGTAAATCCAGGCTTTTTTCAGGGAGAGCCCAGCCGGTAGATAAGGAAATGCAGTTGAGTTGCCCTACAGGTGCAGGGCCCCGTACAAGAGTCCACATCGGGTGTTTGACCTGAAACTGCATCTGCTCTTAGTTCAGATTTCACAAGAAAGACCTTATTGCTCAGAATTTAGCCAGTAATGGATTATTTGGACTGTCTTGTTCAAACTCTTTCCATGTGAAATGAGAACATAACAAGTCTGAGGAAACACAATGAGCTATTATACTTGCATGTACAGTGAGTTCCTTACTGTAGGGTGCTTTTTAATTTATTTTTCTGACCCCAGGGTCTTCACATTAAGCCAGATCCCCAGCCCCTACCCATTGTTACTTTTTATTTTGAAGTAGGGTGTTGCTAAGTTTTCCAGGCTGGGCTCAAACTTGCCATCCTCCTGCCTCTGCCTACCAGAGTGCTGGGATAATCGATGTGCACCACCACACCTGGCTCATAAGGGGCTATCTGCATCGAATCTCAGCAGTATCTGCCACCATACCCTTGCCCAGAGCCATTTCACCATTTGAGAAAAGAAATATCCTTGTTCTTTATGTTGGTTGATTACTTTAGGTTTTCTATTCTTGTCCCATGTTATGCTCATGTGGGTGCTTATTTAAGACATTTGTATATATGACATGGGTTCTGAGAACCCAAATCAGAAAAGGAACCTGATAGCAGTAAGGGCCTGTTTGTATTCTCTGGCTGAAAAAGTTGCAAATTAACTGAAGATACTTGGCTGAAAGCCACAGGTGTCCTTACCCCGCCTTTTCCATTATTCCTCTGTAAAGAGAGGCGCATTCTATTCCCAGGCCAGGAGGGCCCTGGAAACTGGCAGAATAATTCACAGAAGTCCTGTCATGTGACTTTAGTCTCAGAAGACCCTAGAAATCACCTTGTCTGATCCACTTTCCTTTATGGGAAAGGAAACAGGCTCCGAGAGGTTCACGGAGTTCCTAGGTTAGTATTTTCTACAAGCTTTTAATAACATGTTTGTGGTACATAATGAATACATTTGTCATGGCGAGTTGATATACATAACACATTTTAATTCTTTTTATTTCTCCTTCTACCTCCTCCCCTTCCCTCCATCTCTTAGTCTCTTTCCTATTTGCAAAAGATCTAGTTCCCTATTTCCTATTACCTTTTATGTTTCTCTTTAAATTATTTATACTTTGAGTTTCTCATGTGAGAAAAGCACGCCTTATTTAAGCTTGCCTGATTTATTTCACTTAGCATTTTTGTCTCAAGGTGCATCCAGCATTATTTAATTATTGCCTGCAGTGTGTGTATCGGGAGCTGTGCACCTAACAGAAATCTCATAATAGGCCCCCTACAGGCCAACTTGCCAAATTAGGAGCAGGAAATGCTCTGTAGTGAAGTTGACTGGAAAGTGCCCAACACATACTAATTAAAAAGTAAACGTTCTCTGCACTTCTTCGGTGCAGGGGCATTGTGCTATGTCACAGAAGCTGAGGAGGAAAGAGGTGCAAGTGGGAAGGAAAAAGCCATGGACCTAAAGAAAGCCCACCCTCAAGGAACTTGCAGTCCACACCAAATTCTGGCTAAAACAGCCTAGCTCAAGAAAAAGACATTACAAATGCAGGATTAAGAATATCGAGACAAATAAGTTTATGTATTTCATGGCCCAGTTGTGAAATCCTAGAGAAGTTGGGGCAAAAGGCAGAGCACAGCAGGCTGTCCAGATAAACAAGTCTAGAGTGTCCCCAGTGTCCCCAGTGGCCGCTGCTCTCTCAGTTATGTGTGGAGCTGATGCTCAGCTCATGAATCAATATGGGACTCATTAACTCCGAACGATGAGGGGACAGCTGTGCACCCCTGTGGGGACCATTTTGCAGGAATGCTCCCACCTAACCTGGATCTTTTGCTTTCTTTCCAGTGGCCCACCCACAGGACCCTCACCACCCGTCAGAGAAGCCTGTCATTCACTGCCATAAATGTGGGGAGCCATGCAAAGGCGAAGTGCTTCGGGTCCAGACCAAACATTTCCACATCAAATGTTTCACCTGCAAAGGTACAGTGCCTCTAGCCTCCCTGCTTCGTAGCACGTCACCAGCAGTGCCCGAGCCCCTGATGCCTTCGCAGGCCCTGGATGATGGCATGAATGCTTTCACAAGCCCTGCGGAATCGCTCACCTCTTGTTTGCGATTTGATGCGACTCCTGGGAGAAGACAGGGTCCCTCGAGACTGGTAGTTCCCAGGCCTGTGGGGGCTCACTGAGGCCCCTGGTCCCGGGTGGAGTGATTAACTCTATGGAGGGACAGTGAAGATCCAGTTTTGTGTTTTGTACTTTTTAATTTATTTCCCTCCGAAATGAAAGATTCCCAGTGCAAAGTAACCTTGTTCCAGCATCTGTTCGTTTAAAGGAGGGCTGGAAAACTTGTAAGATTGGGTGCTGCGTCAGTCTTTTCTGAGTGTGTGCGCATGCGTGTGTGCCCACCCCCGTGCCTGTGTATTGAGACGTTCCTACTTAAGAACATCTGGAAGGACTCCCAGCAGATAAATCTCTCCCATCCCCGAAGCTGTCAGTTCAAGGTTAATTTCCATTAGCAAGCTTCTGTTCTGAGCTCGCAAAGGGCAGCATCTTGGTATGAAATGTGGTGACCTGTTGTTCCAGAGCCAGGGCAAGGCTGACTTGGGAAAAGGGGAAAAGAGAGTGGTCCATGTGTTTATTGCAGAAGCAGGTTACTTTGGCGGAGAGCATGTCTTGCTAGCTCAGGATGCGGATAAGCAAAATCAGGAGAGATGGAAGGGAGGGAAAGACCTCGTGCTTGTTGGAAGCTTTGCTCTGCACCGTGCGCATGGTCAACACCTATCTGGAAACTGGGCTTTGCTTTAAGCATCTTGGGCACTGCCGTCCCAAGGTATCCATCTGTGGCTGGGGGAGGCTCTCAAGTCGATAGACCCCAGACTGCCTACTGAGCCTCAGATTCAGAAAAGAAGGGGAGCTCTTCCAGAGTCCATAGATTTTTGCTCCAGTTGGTATAGTAACTTTTCAGTGAGTGACTTTTCCAGAGAGAAATGGTGTTAGCATCAGAATCTTAGGTGAAAAGGGGAAGGAGGAGGGAGGGGAGGAGCTAACTGCTCACTCTGCGAGGGTGGTGAGCGTATTATAACCAGGTGTTTTGCTAAATGAGTACGACAGAGCTGCTCTTGCCACTGGGGGCGGGGTGAAATGGGTAGCTGTGTAAGCTGATGGAAATGCTAATCCATTCCAGCATAGCAACCACTTAACTATATATGCACCTTATGACGTCATGCTGTGTATCGTAAATATATGCAATGAAGTGTATTAAAAACAAATAATGTAATACACATGTAATATAAAGGTTATGTTGAATCCTCCTGAACCTCTCTGAATAAGTGTGATAATCAAACCCAGGTTTTCTGACAGTCTAAGTTAGATCAGAAAACATCGGTGTGACACCCAGGATGGCCAGGTTGCTGCCTTACCATAGGGCTCGAGTCCCGATGTTGCCGGCCAGCAACTCTGTGAGCTCAGCAAGTTTCTTGTGTCTCTGTGGCTGTGTCCTTGTGCACACAGTAAAGAGAGTGGACCAGATGACACTGAAATCATTCCAGTTTTGAAGTTCGCAGATTCTGTCTGTGGATAACCAGATGTTGTATGGACTGTAGAACCCATAGGCACTGGGGTAGGATGTCATAGAGAAAGCTGTTTTCTGGTTGCACACAATATAGCTAACTTGGAATCAGCATTATGTATTTTTTTCAGCATAAATTTCATGAAACAGCTCAAGGGGTAGATTTGGTAGGAAATAAATACAACCCATACATGACTGTGGTCCTTATATGTATTTGATATTTCTAGTGAAACTACTCAGAACTGGGCAGTTTCTGTGCAGCACATCTACGTGTTAGAGTATACATCCATGTCACATAGGGTGGATACTTTCTTGTTTGTTTGTTTTCTCTTCTAGTTTAAAACTGAGGACCAAATGTGACTTGTTTATGATGGAAAGTTGGACCATACATGTTGCTCCCCACTATAAACATATTCCTGAAAAGTTGAATCTTTGCTCAAGAGCACCTGCTATTTGCAGGAATAATTTTTGATTTAACAAAACAGTGCTAAAATGAACAAGTCATCTACTCTGGTAAATCTGTATTTTCTCTCACTTAAACTGTCATTCTCTACTGTGTAATATCCCATCTTTCTAGGGTCACACTTTTCTTTAGTATCCAAACAAAGCAGTTTAAGTTCCCCATGGCTTTTACAATAGAAAAGCCATGACTTTTCCTAAACTTCTAAAACAGCATTGCCCAGTGGGAATGTGAGGCAGAGCTATGTGTGTAATTCCAAATATTTTAATAACTACATTAAAAATGAAAACAAGGACAGTTAATTTTCATAATCTTATTTAACCCCATGTATCTAAAACAGTATCATTTCAGTATGTAATTAGTATAAAAATATTGAGATATTTGACTTTTTCCGTACTTAACACACCTTGATTTGTGCCAGTCACATTTCAAGTGCTCAGTAGCCACATAGTGGGTACCATGTTGGACAGCAGCGTCAGTAAGGTTTGCATGGTTGTGGTCTCCTCTCCATTCTTGCCGGTATCACATTTTTGGATTTCCCTTGTGCGTGCTAAATGTTTTTCATTATTTCATCCCACATTGGCCATCATTCCCTCCCTCCATTTCCCAGAGTACCACTAACACCAGGCATCTGTTTTCAGCAAACCTTACTGAATACCTGGAGTAAAACAGGGAGAGTATAGCGTGGATTAGCATAAATAGGCAGCAACTGCTTTAATATTTTCAGACCATTTGCAATGAAAGAAATTTCTCATTGCCCAGCCCTCCTCTGCCTGCCTTCCTACCTGCCTGCCTGCCTTCCTACCTTCCTTCAGTCTTTCCTTCCTTCCCCCACCTTCTTTCCTCTTCCTCCCTTCCTTCCTCTTAGTTAAAAGATTCATTTTCAGACAGGCTTACAGAAAAATTGAGCAAAAGTCCAGGCCAGGGCCATTTTTCATACTTGTTCTGAACTTCGTATGCCACTATCTTGGTTGTGCTTCCTCCGCTATGAAGACTCTTTGCCCTCCATCCCGATAAGGTCAGGACTCTAGAGTCCCTTAGAGCCCCTGCTTTGTAAGTCAGTTAGGACAGTTTTCCAGAAGAACTTGCAGTCTCCTCCCTGCTGAAGGCTGCTTTCCTTCTAATCTGTGCAATCCTGGCTTCATTCCAACCCTCCCACGACAGTTTCCTTTTCTTCCTGTGAAGTAGAGTTGTGGTGTTCAGCTAGGAAGTGAGTTTATATCCTGGGACAGAGGCTTTTGGGTGAGGAACACACACCAAAACAAGGTTGGCTTTGGGTCAAGAGCTAGCAGAGTGCTTGGGAGCATCTCCACGCACTGACTGCAAATTCTCCCTGGAACCCTCCTCCCTTGCTGTCCTTCTCACGTCCACTATGTTGATAGAGCCTTACTTCTTGAGCAGGACAGTGCTTGTGTTGTGCGGTGAGAATGAAAGGACTAAAATATGAAGATTTGTAGCATAAAAAGCAAGGATAAATTCTTTTTGTTTAAAATATATCTTGAAAGAAGAAGTAAAGAGGACACTGAACATTTTATTTGAAAGCTAAATGTGCAGAAAATGGGGTAATACTTCTGTGGTGGAATTAGAGATTATGCATAGCATGTGCCTAAATCAACATTTAGTCTCTACAACTTCCTAGTTAGCCATAATAGGCAGCTAGTTAATTAGCTGTAATAGGATCAGGCAGGGTGAGTGAGTAGGAATTGTGCTGGTGAACCTATCTCACCTCCTGAAAGGTCTGACATCTTGGGATCTGAAGGTTTGAGAATTATCCATCCATTTACTAAATGTTAATCAAAGTTATGCTCCATGCAAGGTATCATCTAATTGTAGAAAATAAAAAGGGATAATGTGCCATGTTTGTGTTGGAAGAAATCAGGAGCTATTTGAAGAGACATATGAATAAGCAACACTTAGGATATTGAGAGTAATGTGTCCTGGATGGGGAGATGCATAAACAGAGTGAAGGCAGGGAGAACCACAGGGGATATGTAATGGAACTGTGGGCAGAAGTGATGTAAGGTATCAGTGGCATGTTAGAAAATCGGAGACAGATGCAAGGGTCGCTTAAAGGTGATAGGATTAAGTGACCAGCTGAGTAGGAATGAAGGATCCAGGATTCCAGCTGGACTGCTCGGGTGGATGAATGGAGTTGCCACCAAGTAAAATGCAGGGTCACTTGGTCAGGCAGTGCTGGACAGAGAGAATGAGATCAGTTTGGTTGAGTCAGATGGTACATCTAGGGTCTAGGAGACAGCACTCCAGAGGTACTGATCTGTGCTTGGAAGGACTTGAATAATCCTTGGCATCTAGACAGTAACTGAAGCTACATGGTCGTGAGTGAGATTTCCCTGGGACACGGTAAAAGCCAGAAACTGCATTCCCAGAATGCCCGTATCTGAAGGAAGTAGAGCCATCTATCACGTTGGAAACTGTGCCCATCTGGCAATAAGATGAAGAAGGTGGTTTCATTGATGGGTGGGTTCTATAATTAAACGAAAAGGAGATCTGCAATTCTCCTTCTGCCATTTCTTAGAATAACCCAGTGGGAGTAGAACGTGACTGCAGGGTACTGAGTGGAGGTGTTCTGTCCTCAATTCTCAACAGTTTTGTTTTTCTTCTTGCCCATTAGCAGCAATCATCCTACTGACTTCGAGGAGTTATTTCAGTGCTCTCCAGTCATTCTGTGACATTGTTTCAGGGATCTGGGAAGTTAATGTAGCCCCTCGTCTTCACCGTGGTTGTATTAGTTATCCGGTGAGAGTAAGAGACGTAAAAACAAATTCAAGATGCTCTTTTCCATTGGGTGTGTCAAGCACATTCCTGGCACCAGGATCCTGTTATAAAGCTCTACATGTGACTCCTGCAGTTTCACGTCTTTGTAGTTTGCTAGGAAACTATAGAGGAAACAATGAGTAGGGTTACTGTAGGGCAGTCATGGGGAGTGCAACT